TGGGGTCTCTTCACAGCAATAGAAAAGTAAATAAGACACAAGGCCTGTGCTCTACCACTGTGGTCCATCACCAATAACTTAGGGTATTTCTAAGTAAGTAAGCCAAGGGTTGATGCTTATCACAGTGTTAGTAATACAGATATGAGAAGTATGGTTGGCCATTCCTACTCTTAGACCTCCCTTTCTTAGCAAGACTTTATTCCTCTTCATTGGAGAGACAGATATTATGAGGGAGGAGAGGCAGCAGCCATCTCCTGATGTTCAGCCAATGCCTGTCTGATGTTGACATCAGAGCTTCAGGGGTTCAAGTGAAGAGTTAGGAAACCATGGTGATTTCAGGCATAGCATCTGTACTTTTCTGACCTTGGTAAGGTGCCACAATAAACTTGAAAGAAAATTGGACCTTTGTACTGCCAAGTGGGCTGATCTGGTACTGAGCTTGGGTGATTATTTCAGCCAAGGATTCCCAGAGGGAGACAGAAAGTGCAGTTCATATAACTGTCACAGTCCTCAAATTTTGTGGGAGGTCTACAGCCTTCACTAATAGAGAAAAGCACATAGATATTACAAACCTTTATCTTAGGCCACACATTGGATTGGAACTACATTGTACTTATGATAGCTACTTCCCAAACATCATCATCAAATGCTTGAAATGTGCCAGGTGTGGTAGCACACACTTGTGGTCTTAGCAGTGGGGAGGCTGAGAGGAATTCATTATTACTATACTCCAGGGGTTGAGGAGAAAGGTCAGGAAACCATGATGATTCAGGAAAGTATCTGTACTTTTCTGACCTTGGTAAGATGCCACAATAGACTCTAATGACCACAGGACTTTGGTCATGCCAAACAGGGTTATCTGGCACTGAACTTGACTCATTATTCCATCCCAGGATTCCAAGTGGGATCCATGAATTGAATTTCATGCAGTAACTCTCACAGTCCTCACACTTTGGGAGAGGTATAGTGCCTTCATCTACCAAGAACCTTTATCTAGTCCACACAGTGTATTAGAACAACATCAGCCTGGGATGCTTAGGGAGACCTTGTCTAAGACAAGCAGACAAAGAGACAAACTATTGAATGCATTTACAATGTGATATAGTCCATAAAATGGAAATTTAAATAACCTCAATTTTTAAATTGACACTAAACTATTGGAAAACGTCAGATATTCTTGGAACTTAAGAATCACAGAAGTCCTCTTTTTAGTGGGAGGATTCATGAACTGTAAATATAAATCAAAGATTTTTTAAGAATACTAAAAGAAAAACTAAGATCAAAAGAACATATTTGAAGAAAACTTAGGTTCCCAATCAATACAGGCTATCATTGTCAAAATGGGTACCAGAATTAAAGCATAGACTGCAAAAACAAAAACATACCCAGGCCTGGTAAGGTTGACCTACAAATACAGATACTTCAGAAGTTAAGGCAAGCTGATCATAAATTAAAGGCCAGCCTGAGATACAAAATAAGACCTAAGACAAATTGCTGGGTATGGTAGCACAAATCTATAATCCTGGCATTTGGGGGGTAGAGACAGGAGGACCAAGAGTTGAAAGCCTGACTGGGCTACATAGTAAGACACTTTCCAAAACAAAACAAAACAAAAGAAGAAAAAAGAAGTTATGCATTCCCTGGGTGTAGCTAAGTTGGCAGAGTTCTGGCCTATATATCATATGTGGAACTCTGATCTTAATCCTCAGTACTGCTTATATGACCATGGTGGTTGTTGCTTGCTTTCTCATCACCAGGGAGATGGAGTCAGTAGGATCAAAATTTCAAAATCCTCCTTGTCCGAAAAGTAAGTTCAAGATCAAGCAGGGCTTCTTTAAACCTTCGCTCTAAAAGAAGGAAGACATCCTGGTACAATATTCACCTGATGACCTACTAATCTATCAAGAGGACCAGATTCCTGGAATCATAATGGTGTTGATAGTTTCAGCTCTTTAAAACCTGCAATTTCCTTTTTTTGAAAATACTTATGGAAAGTCATTAAAACTCAATGTGTGATAATTATATGTTTCAATGCGGTCCTAAGTTCTCTGCTCCATTTCCAGATTAAGGGGACTGAATTCATATGCTATCACCCATACTGTATGCCATGCTGGGAATAAAATCCAGAACTTGGTAAATTCTGAATGAAAACTACAAACTGAGCTATATCTCTAGCAAATTTAGTCCTATAATGCCTCTGTAATTTGAAAGGTTTCTGTAGATGTCAGTGTTGATTATGTTGTTCTCTTCCAATTTCTCTCCCTCTTCCTCTGAAGAGGAGCAAATGTGATCTTTTAGTTCTTTGTCATTTATTCTTTTGTGGATATCAGGATTAGAAATGTGTTACAAGACAGAGAAGATAAAATTGTCATGTGAGTCCTACACATATGTAAATTCTCAACAATTCATATACATGAAATATACAAGTTTATACTACTTCATATTTTGTCCATGAATGGTGAATAATAAAGTCCACAAAGTAATTGATTGTAGGAAAATTGTCAGCAACTTGGGCTAATTGGTATGAAATGAATGTTTTTGTTTGTGGAAGTGTATGAGGATTGAGTGTGTGTGTGTGTGTGTGTGTGTGAGAGAGAGAGAGAGAGAGAGAGAGAGAGAGAGAGAGAGAGAGAGAGAGAGAGAGAGAGAGAGAGAAAGAGAGAGAGAGAGAACAGAAAGCTATAGTTCAAATGTCATGTCAAAGCTTGTGTTGAATTTTAAATGTCCTTATAACAATGTTAGAAATTGAGAGTTTCAGTAGGTGATAAGGTCATGAAGATTTTGCCTTTTTTATATAGGTTGATTGTGAATGTTGTCTAAAATTTGTGCTGTAATGTTTTGTCCAAAAGAGTTGGTTCTGTTTGGGGGAATTATGGAATATTTAAAGGTGAGGCCTGTCTCCTGGAAATAGTTAACTTAGAATAGACTATGGATTGACCAGTCACAAGGTCTCCTATCAACTCTAGAGTTCCAACTGTCAATGATTCCAGCCATTGAATACCCATGTTTACAAGCCTAATCTGGTACCATTTCTCGACATTTGTTGCTTTTCTTTGCACTATAGCCAAATTCCTGCTACAAAGCAACTTTTCTCTTAGTTTCATGGCAGGTTAGACATGGCACTTGGGGCTTTGGTCTAAATGTGGGAGGTAGTGGTTGTTCTTAAATATGTAGATGGAGGTAGAAAGAGGATTATGAAGAGGAGGAAGACGGCACACACAGAGAGAAAGGTAATAGATAGACAGACAGACAGACAGACAGACAGCCATATGCAGGGTATTTGTGACCAATAACCAACAACCTACTTCTTTCTTTCAAGTATTACCTCATGGTGTCAAGTGACCTCCCAAATAGTACTACCAGTTAGGGGCAAAGTGTTGACACATGAAACTATGACAAAGATTTTATACTCAAAACAACACTTTGTGAATGGATCAAAGTCATTATTGTAGTAGTGTGATAGCTAAGAACATCCAGTATCTTTTTATTTTTCTTTTTTAGTCTTAGGATGTACAGTTACTGACTACTGTGCCTTATTATAGTGCAGTAGCAAGGGCCTCACCAGATGCCAGTGTTGAGTTCCTGGAAATAACTGCTTCCTGAATCACAAATTTAAAAATGCTATTCATACAATTTCTGGGTTTCCGGTATCCTGCTACAGTAGAATATAGCCTAAGATAATCCCGGCCTCTTATAGCACAGAGACTACAGGAATAACAGAACAACTCTCAGATAGTGATAGCAAGAGATAGGGTCAGAGGACATCATATCCTATGAAGACAGCCAGGAGGAGAGAAGTAACCATTTGTCATTAGTCACAGAGATCAGAGATTATTTAGTGAGGGTTTCTATTTCTGTGACAAAACACCGTGAACAAAAGCAACATGAGCAGGAAATGTTTTAGTTTGTTTGCATTTCCTCTCAACAGGTAATCATCCAGGGAAATCAGGGCTAGAAGATGGAGGAAGAAGTTGAAGCATAGGTATAGAAGGGTGCTGCTTATTTGCTTGCTCCTCATGGCTTGCTCAATCCTCTGACTTAAGTACCCAGTACCACCTCCCCAAGGGTGGTAGCATCTACAGTGGCCTGAACCCTATCAGTCAGTATTATTCCTTATTCATCGCTAACTAAGAAATTGCCCTAACCTCTTGGCTGCAGTGTGATTTTTATGGATGAATTTTCTCAAACGAAGTTCCTTCCTCTCAAATGACCCTAGATTGAATCAATTTTACTTAAAAGCTAGCCAGCACATACACCCAGTGGCCCAAACTGCTCCTATGTCAGATTTCAGTCTCTCTATCCTCCTGGCTGCAGAGCCTCTGATCTCCTTAATCTCTTGCCTTTCCTTCTCTCTCCCTTCTTTAGCTCCCATCTGTGGCTGTCAGTGGCCGGAGAATACAAAGGAGACTCTGGAGAAATTACATCTGCAGCCCCTCAAAGACCCAGGCTAGGAATGCATAGACACAGAGACACACAGAGTACCATGAAACACTATTATTGTCATTTCAATGTAATCATATCCACATATGTAACCAAGAACATATAGAAAAGCCTCCACAATTTAAGATTATACATGCAAACACACCCCAGACATGCAAGAGTAGACTAACAAGCACATCTAGACAAAAGCACAAAAACACATTCATATGAGAAATGAACTTTCATGTATAAAAAGCATACAGCGCACACACTCAGGCCAATGCCTGAACAGACAGACAGAGCTCAGATGACATTTGTACACACACTCCCAGTAATCAACATTACACCCAATGCCATTTTGTCCTATGAATCGATTTCATGGTGTCCTTGCCAAAATCTACCATGGGGGTAAGGGAATAGTGAGCGAGCAGGTCCCTGGCAGGCCACCAAAGTAGGAAGTATGCATGACAAACATGAGAGAGGAGGTGGGAATAGTTGAAGTTGCATAACTGGGTGGAAAGCACAGTTCAGCATACAAGGTCCTGCTGGACTGTGCAGTGGACAGTGTTCAGAGGAGGACCATGGAACCTACCATCGTGCTCTTTCTCACTCTGTTCCTGGCCTTCTTAGTGCTCCTGGTCAGAGGCCACTCAAAGGCGCATGGCCGCCTCCCACCAGGACCCCGCCCTTTGCCCTTCTTGGGAAACCTCTTGCAGATGGACAGAGGAGGCCTCCTCAATTCTTTCAGGCAGGTGAGACTTATATGGGGCCTTAGTGTGGGCTTGGTGCTTCTTTTGTCCATGGAGAGCATTCATCAGGATGAGCAAGGTACTCCTTCCTGGATGTAGGACCAGGTGGGAAGGTCACTGAGTTTGATGCTTATTGGCGATGGATTGCGCTCATGTTAACAGGCTTGTTCTTGGTATGCTTGAATTGTGTGGGGCACTGCTTGGAGCATGAAAGGTATAGGTGTGCTGAGGTGAAAGCATGTAGAATTTCACTCCATGGAGCCTGTCTTTTCCAGAGAAAAAGAAAAATGTCAGCAGCATCAAAAACAGGTTTTCCTCCTGCCAACAAAAGAAAGAGTAAAGATTAACTTGACATGTTCAGGGACAAAGGGGAGGAGTGGCAGGCAGGGCAGGAGGAGGGTCCAGCAGGAAGTGCTTTATCAGTTTCTTCTAGCAGCTAGGGTTATATTTACCAGTCTGTTAATTGATGCTTCACATTTAGGATTTAATGCTTAATTGCCACTTTTTATTAATTTTATTAATTTATTAATTTTATTAATCAGCATCTGTGGTACTAAAATCCATGACAGTACTGAAGCAGTGGCTGTAAGTCTTACTCCAAAAATGGAGTTTATGTCCTGCCAGGTCCCACAGTCCTTCAGTCCCAAGTATATTCACAAAGGCATCTATTAAGTATAAACTGTTTGGCTGAAAGCTCAGGCTGCTCTTTGGTCTGCTCTTTCTTAATTATTAACCCATATCTATTAAACCAAGTATTGCCATGAGGCTGTGGCTTACCCATAATGCCACTGCTTGTTACACCTTCAGCAACGACATGGCATCTCTCTGACAACTCTATGAGTTTTCTCTTCCTGGAATTCTCCTACTCTGGTAGCCCTGGCTGTACTTCCTGCCTGGCTACATCTTGCCTGTCCATTGGGCAAAACAGCTTTTTTTTCACTAACCAAGAAGAGAAACATATATTCACAGCGTTCAGAA